CAAACTGGAAGCAAAGTCTGCTTGGAGAATGTTTCCAGTTAAAATATTTTGGATTTCGAGGGACACTCTAGTCACCAAAACATCTTTAGCTTAATGAAACCGTTTTGGTGAATAGATCATGCCAGTTCTGTTTCGCTGCTTAATTCTCACCCATTAAGGAGTTAAATCCCTTTTGCTTCTATTTATGCAGCCATAGCCACACCTCTCCTTGCTGTGACTGATACAGCCTGCATGAAAAAAAGATTTATTTTCAATCTGATGTTAAAGGGACACAAGTCACCCAGACCACTTCAGCTCAATGAAGTGGTCTGGGTGCCAGGTCCCTCAGGTTTTAACCCTTTCAGAGAAACAGCTATGTTTACATTTGGGGTTAATCCAGCCTCTAGTGGCTGTCTTCCGGACAGCCACTAGAAGCGCATCCATCGCTTTTCCTATGGACTATTTGAATGTGCGCGGGGAGCTGACGTAGGACGGGGAGGAGAGGGAGCCCGGCGCTGGATAAAGGTAAGTAGCTGAAGGGATTTTAACCCCTTCAGTGCTACGGGAGGGGGACCCTGAGGGTGGGGGCACCCTCAGGGCTCTATTGTGTCAGGAAAACTGTTTTGTTTTCCTGACACTATAGTGATCCTTTAATGATATTGGCGTTTTGTTTTTGGTTTTTCTCCTGCTCTGCAAATTGAACTTTAATCACACACAGGTGGCTCCTGCAGAGGCTAGGCTGTTGGCAAAGCAGGAGATAAGAAATCGTAAATTAAAGTGTGCAGTAAAGGAAGTGTAAACATTAGATGACTCTTTACAGGAAGTGTTTAGGAAATCTGTATAAGTCACATAAAGGGAGGTTTGTCTAATGATGCATAAACAAAATTATTTAACTCCTTAATTCTCCTAACAGAGAATTGAGCAGTGAGACTGCAGGAGTTTGATTTATACACCAAAACCAGTCCATTAGGATAAAGTTGTTATGGTGCCTATAGTATCCACTTACATTTGAAATTCACAAGCTACACATTTCCCACAAGCCTCTGCTCTACTGGAATTTAAGGGGCACACTTAAAAGCCTCTTATTTTGGTCTGACTTCTAATTGGTGGAGTCTGTTCCTGGTCTGGGATGGTCTCTCTTCTGCTGCTTGCTTGTGCAAGCTTTTCAGTAAATTTTTAAAAAGTTGTTATATATAAAGTAAAGCATTATCTATGCACAAATGCAGGGGTAGGCAACAGTCTGTACTCCAAATGTCTAAATCTTCTAAAATACTCTTGCACCTTTGGAGCTAGATCCCCCATGATGCATTGCCAGCCTGAAGCTGGAGGGTTACTTGGTGCAAGTCCTCCTGTTCTCCAAAGAGTCTTGGAATTCAGGAGTCCAGAGAATCTCTGAAGAAGAGTTGTAGAAATAAAGCAATCACTATGAAAACAAATAGAATGTTCCTTCCAATGACTTTAAGCACTTTCTGTTTGTTTTAATCAGTAAACGTGAAATTGAGATTTAAAAGTTTTAGGCCAAAGTAGTTGAACTACGAAATATGTGATTTGTCTAATTTGCCCAAAAATGTGTATTTCCAGCCAGTTCCTGGCTCATTGAAATAATCCTGCTAGTCCCCCGAGCATCTTTGGCATGTACGACCAGTCTTGTATTGCTTGGCGAAATAATGTGTTAAATGTGGGCCCTCTTCCCCCCCCTCCCCGCCTCCCATCTCACAGCAGTCGTCAGAAGGATGTTTGTTTATTTTCTGAGTTTCCTCTTTAATGTATTTATACCATCTGCATGTGATTTGTAATCTGTTATAGCTGCTGTTAACCCTTCACTGCCTGATGGATTTAGTTATATAACTATTAACTGCTATTACGTGTTTGTTTGTCCACCCATTGTACAGTGTTGCGGAATCTGTTGGCGCTTATTAAAAACGAATAATTATTCATCTTCAGCTATCCCATGAGCACATAATACCTTGTAGCCTTACAGCTGTTATTATTGTATTTATATAGCGCCAGCAAATTCCGCAGCGCTTTACAATGGGTGGACCAGCAAACATCTAAGTGTAACCAGACAAGTTTGACGCACAGAAACAGAGGGTTTGAAGGCCTTGCTCAATGAGCATACATGCTAGAGGGTGTGGGGTAAAGTGACGCAAAAAAGGTAAGGTAAGGGAAGTATTAGGGAAGTAAATCCAGTTGCTTGGTTACCTGTGACACATTCTCTCTTATTACTGTTAACGCTTGACTAACTGAATTCTATATCTGCAGATATGGATTTAGAGACGTACGGGCCTTTATGTATAAAAGGCAGTTCTGGGGTAAAATTCTAAAAGTGGAGCAGTCACCATGGAAACCAGTTAAATGTTGTGGATTAAATACACTCTAAGTGAATTTGATAAAATTGTACACGTCCACTTTATTTCTGTGGCTGCTCAGGAAATAAAAATAACATTTTTATAAAATTCTGTTGTTGCAAATATTCACTTATTACAGTGTAATTGTATTGTTGACTCTGAAATACAATTTTAGTAATTCTGAAATTAAAAGTAACCAATTTTCTGGGCTGGTTTTAAGCAAACTATTGGGGTCCTGCAATCCTTATGCTGCAGATCACATTCCAATCATATATTAAAATTATTATGAGGTAATATTGGTATTTATATAGTGCCAACTTATTCCGCAGTACTTTAAAATATTATAAAAGGGGAAAATTTTATTGAAACAATTACAAAATGTTACAATAAGTAGTTGATGACTCTGCTCCAATGAGCTTTTACAGTCTAGAGTTAACATTCATTGCATCTCTGGTGTCCAGTGTTGAGGTTGCTGCACTGGCCAGTATGGATAATGTCTGTGATGCTTACATAGTGTGTTGGTCAGACTGTCTGTTTCTGTGAAAGTCAGTCGATGCTTCTTGTCTGTTAATCCCACGTCTTTGCTTTGCCACGTGACCCTCTCCAGTTTTAAAACAAATCTCGTCCAGTGGCTGGGTGTGGGAGGGGGCAATGCCATCTGTTCTCCTTCGGGGGCCCACAGGACGAATTCTGCTGCTGCCAGAAGTAATCTTCCCTTGGAGATGAGATCCAACCCACATCTTGTACCACGCTCTGTATGTGTTATCTAGTGCCGTGGGTACCATAATCTGTGCACTGTTGAGGACCTTGGTCTTCAAGGCTTATGGACAGCTGGGGTCCATGGACTTGTAGCTGCAAGTGTTCGGACTGTAGATATGTTGAAATTTAATAAGTGTTTTATTATATTACATTTAAAAATAAAGTTTTCAGTGAAGAACAAAAATCTTCAGAATTCCTTTAAGGCTACTGATAGTACATAACGTTAATTAACACTCTAAGCTTTGTAAACATGGCAATACATTACACAAATGAAAACTATTACAATTCAAAGGTCCTGTTGAAATAATATGAGGGGGCGAGAATGTGTTCCTTTCAGCTTGTAAAAAAAATGTTTTTCTCTGCTCCTATCCAGGTAAGGCCTGCTGTGACAGAAGGATGAATGCTGCCACCGGTCAGGGGGTGATTACAGCCCCTCCCCCCCCCAGCATGCCACACAAAGAGCGCTATTTTGACCGTATTGATGAGAACGATCCAGGATATCTCCGAGAGAGGAACATGTCACCAGACCTGCGGCAGGATTTCAACATGATGGAACAGAAGAAGAGGGTGACCCAGATTTTAAAAAGCCCGGTAAGATTTTTTTTTAATTATTAATTTATTTTTTTTACATATGGCTGTCCCCTTGCCTTTTTATTTTTTTTGTTTATTTTATATATCCAAGTAGTGTTCTGGACACACACCAGTTGTCATGCAAAATATTTTTTCCCCTCTCTATCATTCCCTTACTCTACAGAGTCTGTCTACTTCACTCCCCAACTGCTGTATATTGCTCTGCAGAGCCTGTCCACTCCACTCTCCATCTGATATACATGTTGCTCTGCAGAGCCTGTCCCATCCCACACACCTTCACTGTACTGTTGCTCTGCAGAGCCTGCCCCTCAAGCCCCCGTTCATTATACATTTGCTCTGCGAAGCCTGCCCCTCCAGCTTCCATAGACTGTACTGTTTTTTTAGACCATGCACCACTATATTTCTGTGTGAAGAATTAAGACTGCACTATGAATTCAGAGCATTGCTGATTCACAACACAAAAGCTTTAGGTTTTCAGTAAATAGTTTACAGCGCTTGGGACATGTTGTAAGTGATGTGTTCTATCCTGTATCGAGATGTCATGTAGTATATTACTGTTTTAGTTTTTTTCTCATTTTACTTTATTTTGTAAACATTGCTGTTTTACAAACCCCTTGTAAAGATGTCTTTCTCAGACTAGCTTGTGAGACTGGATACATTCTTCCGGGACAATGAAATGGAATACAATATATCCAGTGTAAATTCATTTCTCGAATGCCGCTGTCATGAACTTTAGCTTCCCTTTGCTTGTCAGATGTCAGGAATTTTAATTTTGATTTAGGTCGTTGGTCAATACGTTTCTTTTCATTTCGTTTCATCGTACATTGGACAACATACGTTCTGTTCCTCCCTCTCGCACTTTCTGGAATCCTGGCTTTCTCTCTAAAGAGGTGCAGTCGGGTGCTCCCCTTTGGCTCAGTGCAGAAAAAAAGTCCCTTCTTTTCAGAGACCCTCTGCTACTGCTGCTTTGGCAAAGTCTGAAGGGCTTTGAAATTCTTTCTGTTCTCCAATCAGCTACAGATCGCTTCATTAGACAATCACAAGAGTGGCCGCTCAATGGGATGCCGAGGGGAGGTTGGGGAAATGGGGGCAGGAGTACAGGACATTTGGAATGAGTTTGGGGATTTTTAACTCTTAGCATGCTCTGCACTGTAATCTTAGTAATGCACACAGTCCACTATAAAAACCAGTGTAACAATCACTAAATATAAGATTTATTTAATCTACCTTCTACAAAATAATGACTTTCTAACCTTGCTTCTCACTCCTTAAGCCCTGTTATGTTGTTAATATACTCATTATTCACAATAAATACCTATGGTTACTGTGAGATGGAGTCTGACAATAAATTTAGGTCTTTTAGTCAAATGATGGACATATCTTTAAATTAAATCTGCCACCTAAACTTAAAAAAACAAAAACAAACAACCTATTCCTTCTAATGACACATTCACACTTACATTATCTCTAGTGCATAGAACATCTTCCCAGCATGCGCGTCTCTTCTCTTTAGATGTACGTTGTTTTCTCCTTAAGCCTTTGTTAACTTAACTGTTGTTTATTGGTTGTTGACTGGTGCAAGACTCTGAGAGGAGGTAGGTTGGATGAAAATCTTAAATGGCCCTGATAATATATATATTTTTTTGATGGTATGTAGAACCTTTTGCAAAAACATATTAAAAAGCTAAGCGGTATGTGAATTGCATACATTAATACAGACTCCTATTTAGTGATAAAAATAATCGGATAAACAGGTCATCATTCGTTTTTGGGTTTTCTTTTCTCTCGCAAACTTTCAAACTATTTTCTTGCCCTAGGATGAGCATTGCTCTGTAATAAGATCTTTGCAGGGATTGAAATAATGTGGGTATTGCATTAAAATGTCATCAAAACTCTTGTTGCAATGCCTGAGAAATGCAGTTTGACTCTGGGGAATAAGTGTAACCGATATCCGACTGGCAGGGAGGAGGGATGGTAAGGGGCCGGCGTCGCACTCAACTCTGGTTGCAGTTCTCTGATCTTCCTTTGCTGTCATTACACGTCCTTGATGGTTCCTGCAAGCCATTCAAATGGTTAAACTTGCAGGTAAAGGATGCTCCACTATTATACTATACTTTGTAACAGTCTACGAAATGTGTGTTACCATGATCACCAGATACATGGTAGGTTTAAATGGGCTTTTATTCCACCAAATCCACTTAATGCAACATTACAAATAACACATGGGTCTAAATTAGGATTGATGTAACTTCAGCTTGGGTTAAAACATTTGTGTTTCTGTGATTTGTACCATACCGTGGGATGGTGTAAGCATTTGGAAGAGTCTCTCTGGATATAGCTGTGTCTATCAAATGTATTCTAAAATCTGTAAGACTTTATCAGGGGGTGGAAATGATCGATTTGACACACACATAGTGGATAGTTGAATCGACTATTCAATGGAGTTGGTATTGTAGAACGCCATAGGATTATTCATAACGGTTTTCTGTGATCTGATTGACTTTTATTTCTGAGACATGAATAAAATCTTTGAATGCATTGCTTGACGAATATAGCCTGAGCTTTTCAGAGGAATGGTTGGATCTGAATACAACATATTTGCAATGAAATGCCAGAGTATTTGAAAGCGCTTTAAATGAAACTAGTAATGGTACTTGGTGTAGTTTGAGTGCCCCTTCTCTACGTTAAACCTTATAAAATTATTTAGATTTTTGCTTGTGGGACTCACTCTAATGGCTCTGGATGAAGTAATAGAATGGGTTGCTGGATACCAATAGTATGAGTCGAAATGGAGTGCCCACTGAACACACAATATCTTCTCTTTTCAAGCTGATTCGTCTTGCAGCAATCAAGAAGATAGGCAAGTGGAGGTAGATCTCATGGAGCTGATTTTGCTGAAGTCCGAGAAGACACAGCACACATTGTTCAGCTACATCCCTTCTACTGTGACTTGGATCTGGGCCCCGCTCGCCTTCTCAAAGGATGTGCTAATGAGTTTGGCCCAGCTTTTTCGAACGTACTGAACTGTTCTCCAAACACAGATGCCTTTTCTGATCAGCTGCCACTAGCCATTATAAGACCTTGTCTAAAAAAAATCCTTTGTTCCAAATCTCCCCCTGGAGGCAGGATTTTTAAAGTGGATGCAAGGCATTTGGGACAGCACCTGTAAACCCCACCATTAAAGGGACACTTTAGTCACAAAATAACTTTAACTTACTGAAACAGTTTTTCTGTGTAGGGCATGCCTCTGAAGTCTCACTGCTCAGTTCTCTGCCATTTAGGAGTTAAATCACTTTTGTTGCTGTAGCCCTAGCCATACTTCCCCTGGCTGTGACTGACACAGCCTTAATGAATGTTAGATTTAACTTGCTTTTAAAAGTTTTAATCTCCTACTCTGCAAATTGAACTTTAATTATATGCAGGGGAGTCCTGCATGGTCTAGCAAGCTATTAACTAAACAAAGGATAAAAAAAAATCTGAATTAAACAAAATTTGCAAAAAAGTGTAAACCTGAAATTACTCTTTACAGGAAGTGTTAAAGAAGACTGTCTAAGTCACATGCAGGAAGGTGTGGCTAGGGCTGCATAAACCGTGATTTAACTCCTAAATGGCAGATAATTGAGAAGTGGGATGAGGGCATAATAAGATAGGCCATGATCTGTACAGCAAAACTGTCTCATTATGCAAAAGTTCCTTTGGTGACTATAGTGTCACTTTAAAGTTTGATTTCAGAAAATTGTACAGAAACCATCGTGGAATGTGTTCAGTGTGGTGTTTGACTATTTATTCCTAATACACCTTGACTTGTCTGAAGCACTTGACACTATAGACCAGGGATAGGCAACCTTCGGCACCCCCAGATGTTGTGGATTACAATTCCCTTGATGCTTTGTCAGCATTATGACTGTAAGAGCATTATGTGAGATGTGGTCCAAAACATCTGTAGTGCCAAAGGTTGCCTACCCCTGCTATAGACGGTGGAGCAGACAGAACTACACTGGAAAGAGTTGCAGAGATTTTTGTTGGTTCCTGTCTTTTCATGATGGATAATTAACAAGTGCTACCCTTGTGTTTTCATTGTGTGAGCCATACAATTTTTTGCACCTTCATTGGATCGTGCAGGAAGCTTTAAAGGGACACTATACGCACAGCAGTGTTTTCATTGCAGGTTTTAAATGCCTCCAGTTGCTGTCACAGAGAAGCCACTAGAAGCACTTCCAACAAAACAGCAGAGTAAAATTCTATTAAAATCAGGTGGACTCATAGAGACAATCTGGTTAGCACAGTGCAGCATTTTGCACGCATGCTCCCTTGTCTCACAGTGCTTTCCTGTGTGGAAAAGCATGGGATTGGCTGAGATCATCGATCTTGATAATCTCAGCCAAGTTGGCGGGACAGGAGCGCAGAGACCGGCACTGCGTGGGTGAACAGGTGACTAGTGTTTCATTAAATATACAGGAGACAAAGTTTGCAGTGGTTATATCTGGAATGTTAATACCACACACCAAGTGGCATCTTAGATGCAAACTACCTACAAAACGATCCCACATCCTGGTGCCATTATTATTTTAACACGTTATGTCAGCCGTGTGATTTGTACGTAAATCCTGGTTTCCTGTGACATGCCTGACATGTCTTTTGGCTTTGAAAGAGTTAAAATAGAATGTCATTTTAAAAAAACAAAACTGCAGTATAGCCCTAGCAGCACACCATAAGCAGGAAAGTTTGTTCTGACTTTGTCTTTCGGGACTTCATTCTGATGACTGCATATCATATAACTGATCACTAAAGGGTTAAAAAGCAATTCTCCCTCATAGTCAATCCCAGCTAGGACTTCCAGCACCTTGTGTGATTATGTAGCGCACTCTGGTGGCTAAAAAACATTACTGCGCCATAATATTTATCAGCTCACCTAATTTAAAATCGCAGGCCGTGTTCCTGCTGCCAACTGACCAGTTGTATTTCATTAAATGCACAGACAGGTTTAGGCAAAGTATATCAGCAACTTGAAAGGGGGAGTTTGGGGAGATTTTAAAGATTTCCTGTGCTACTGTGTTGCAACATGAAACCTTGTTTTAGCTAAAACACATAATGGCCATTAAAAAAAAAAATCTTCTAAAAACCTGAGTAACTGCAGACGATTGATTTTTCACTTGTTCACTTATCATCCAGTTGTTTACAACCGTATCATTTTACACATCCCCCTCACTCTTTGTATATAGATGAAGGGGTCGTAGATGGGCAAATCAGACCGTTTAGACTTCGGAACTGAAAGGGTTATTGCCAAGTGGTAACCTGTATGTGCAGTCGTTCCTTCTAGGGGAGGCGGGGGGCGAGGCATTTGTGGTTGAAAAGAGAAATTGTCAGGAATAAGACTGCAGATGTTAGAAGTTAGGGATACGGACGCAAACTGATCACAAAGATGAGGAGACCTGGTGAGACAGCAGGAGATTGATAGATTACTCCAAGAGATAGTGAGACTCCAGCGATGTAGGAGTTACTGGTGATGTTAATTAAAATGACAGTATAGCCTGGACCCTGATTAGTTGCACATATATGCCAGCTCCTCATTTAAAAAGTAAAAGAACACAAGGTGTACAGTGACCAATATTCTCCCCCAGTCCTGATTTTGACATTTGATTTTGATGATGATTTTTGTCCTATGAAACCCAATCTAGCAGAGTTTGCGAATTATGCAGTTGTTTAGTATAAGTAGTTTCATTCATGGAAAAATAGCTTGTAAAAGTAGAGTGTAGGAGCTTGTTTTTGCAATCAGATTCTTCAAAGTCTAATTTTTAGTATTTATAGGTCAGAAATCATACGCAACATTGAGTATCTCTGACACATACCACTTATCGGTTGGGTATCTGTCTTCAGATGTCAGCCCTGGTGTGTATAAATAGGGAGTTATAAAAGAGGTAATTTGCAGACATTTGGAAGGAAGATGAGTTAAATTGCCCAGCTGGGAATCTTCCAATCCTCCCCCAGCAATGTCATGTACAAACAAATCCGACGTGTTGAGTGCTTTGTACAACTCCTACTCTTCACTGACCAATTCTCTGTTAATTAGTAGATTTGGTGCCCCCAGGCTTAGAATTGGAACAGAACTAAAAATATAAATGTATGTAGCAAACACTTATTAACACAAACCAGCAATGAGATCTCCTGGCACCTGGAGCTAATTAAAGGGAATGGCAGATCAAGGTTGGCGCGGGATGGGTGGGGTGATGTAGCAGAATGTTGTACATTGCTATTATTCACAAATCTATAGAAAGGTTTCCAAATCCAAACATGATATATTGTAAAACATCCCTGGGCAGGTTCGGGGTGAAAGCCTTGGGGTTTGTTTTCTGTTGCACTCCTAACTTTATTTCCGTGTGTGATCGGAAAAGTATTAACTCTTCAAATAGTCATAAATTCAATAATTAAAACAAAGTGCTATAAATATGCTTTAATATTTCAGTTTGTAAATTTATTTTGCTGACTTTTAACCAACAATAATTACTTGGTGCACCACGTTATAAATCTAAAATTGAACATGTCTAATAAGTTATGATGCGAACCCACTTATCCTGTTATGCACAGTAAGTATGACACACCTACCAACTGTCCTACTTCAGGAGAAAGAGTCCCTATTCTTAATGGGCATTCCATCTGCAATATGTAGGTTTCGACATGAACAACATAGTTTAATATCCGTAATATTGCCAGCATTAGATAGATACCTATAATGGTTATTTAGAATGTAAAGTTTGTCTTGTGCTTAATGTTTTTATTACAGAATTAATGTCATTATTGAAGTTATCCCCAGTAACCCTACAAAACAGTCACATCCTGTAAAAGTCTCCTTTTGCCATTTCAAATGTTGGGTGTTATGAAGATTATATGTGAATGGTTTTATTCTGTCTTGTACAAGCTGCTAAGGCCTCATTTTGCTGCTGTCATATTATAAGGTTGACATAACCTGTAATAAAAATGAAACATTATTATTAACATTATTGTGCATGGCCAGGAGCTGGAGCAAGTAGATGTATCATTCAAGAAAGTATCCAGTTCTGTTTTCTCTGTTTATATACTGTTTTGTGCCCATTTTCCAGGGCTGTGGATATATATAGGATTCCTTGGTGATATCCCCCCATCCCCTAATCCCCTTTAGAGTTTGAGGGTGGGTAATGTCACTGAGTTCTCCTATTGATCGTTTTATTTAAGCATTCATATCACTCAAGTAGACCATCTCTGCTCTGAATATATGGCTGCAGTGCTTAATACAGGAAGTGACATCATAGATCTGGTAGACCTCATGTATACGGAGCATAAGACTGCAGTGCGGATACAGGAAGTGAATTGATCTAGCAACTTTCCTGTATTCTAAACACGTCAATGCAGTGCATATACAGGAAGTGATTGTATTGATCTGACAGACTTCCTGTATACTGAGCATATAACCGCAGTACGTATACAGGACGTGGTATCACTGATCTGGCAGACTTCCTGTGTACTGAGCATATAACCGCAGTACGTATACAGGAAGTGATATCACTGATCTGGCAGACTAACTGTATACTGAGCATATAACCGCAGTACGTATACAGGAAGTGACATCATTGATCTGGCAGACTTCCTGTATACTGAGCATATAACTGCAGTACGTGTACAGGAAGTGACATCATTGATCTGGCAGACTTCCTGTATACTGAGCATATAACTGCAGTACGTGTACAGGAAGTGACATCATTGATCTGGCAGACTTCCTGTATACTGAGCATATAACTGCAGTACGTGTACAGGAAGTGACATCATTGATCTGGCAGACTTCCTGTATATTGAGCATATAACTGCAGTACGTATACAGGAAGTGACATCATTGATCTGGCAGACTTCCTGTATACTGAGCATATAACTGCAGTACGTATACAGGAAGTGACATCATGGCTCTTGATGTGGATATCAATTTAATAAATTGATTATCTTGCGTATCTGCCCCCGGCCAAATTAAAGCAGTAGTGCGTGCACGCTCCTAAAGTAATTCTCACCAGACACAGGTTTCGGATTAATGAAAAACTTGAGGAATGTTTATTCTGGGGGGACGGCATGTCCCTTATAAAGCAAAATTACATCAGATGCATTGTCAGAGATAACATGGAATAATACATCCATAATTGGTTAGGTGTTAAGTGGTTTATTTAGTGCTCTTCCTACCGGGTGTGATGTCACTGGTATCTTGGTGGTCTCCCCCAGATTCCAGCGCCATCTTGTTAGTAAAGGTTTTAGTCGATGTCAAAGGGAAACTCCCTAGCGGCCATTTTAGGTTAATCACATAGAAAGTTGAATAATGCTGATTGTAGTTATGCTGAGTAAATAGGAATTTTACTAACATGGATTGGGTTTTTTTTTGTCCACAACACTCTGGTAGACTTCTTTAATGCTGAACGGATTGCTTCAGTGTGTATACAGATAGTATAGGTGACAGTGACACCGCTATCAAGCCTTGCTTCACACATCATGCAGGAAATTAAATACTAGATCCTAAAGGATGGTCAGCGTCTTCATGTCCACTTTGTCAGCGAATGTGTAGCTCTCATTACATTTAAGAATGTTATTTATTACATGTCTCTTTCTGTCTCTTGCATGTCAGGCTTTCCGTGATGATCTAGAGAGCCTCATTGATGATCAGATGCAGAAAGGAAATAATCCTGCAGGGTTATTGGCGCTACAGCAGATCTCCGATTACATCACCGCAAGCTCCTTTGCTGGTTTTTCGTCGCCCTCGCTTAGTAAGTCCGCACCTTTCACTGTAATCCATTCCTGAGAGAGATGTAATATCATTTTTTTTTATTATTTATTTATTTAAAAGCATGCATATTGTGAAACCTTGCATTGTGTGGGATTGCCTGCCGGTGAGTTTTGGCAGACACGTGACTTGATGTGTGGGTTTATGGCCCATTGTCACAGGTTAGAGGGAGGTAGATACAAAGTGAGCATTTTCAAAGTCCACATTTATTGGCCATTTTACTTTGCAATCCCTTCCATGTATTCATACTCCAAGCAGAGCATGCACTGCTAATATAGCACTGAATTAGTTAAACGGATATCAAGCAGCAAAGTAAAATAACGAATCTTGCTGCAGGAAGTTGCCCTCGATCGACTTGCATCCCTCCCCATCCAATTTACTTGTATCTGGCCTGGCATCCTGTTTGTATAAAGTGGTGTTTTGGCTTCCCAGTTTAGGGCACCGTTTTGGTTGCTCAGATGGGGAAGGAGGTAGATCTCATAAATCTGTATAGATCATTACTGTCGTGCGTTACTGGAGTGATCGGACAAGGAAAGTCAAAGATAAAGAAATGTTCTTAATGGTTACTTAAATATAATTTGTGAAAGTGACCTAAATTGAAGCAGTTCTAATAGCCCACATTACAGACAGGCTAACCTCCTGCTAGCTTGCTCTGTTTGTAACTGTGGCTGTAGGAATCCTAAGCCTTTGTGATTTCTACGCCACCGGGATGTCACCTAGATGTCCTCGTGTGTTTGGCAACTCTCCTTGTCCAGGCGGGTGATGTATCTACGCTCTGCAGGATGTCTCGCAAAATCATCAGCGGTAGAAACATGCACTTTGAATGACCTGCTAATTCTGTGTGTCTTGGTTTTATTTTGAATCAGTTTGCAGATTTTTGTTTTGTTTTCTTATGCATACACTTATGCCATAAACATACACGGTTTCTTTTAATGATATTTTGAACAAGGAAAAAAAAAATGAAAATGAGGTTTAACTGCTACCACAATATTGTGTAATGACGTTGGCTCCTTGCTTAGGTTATGGTATCTCCCTAGTATTTATCAAACCCTCTACTCTAGCAACTTCACAAAGAGAATTCCCTTGTCTGGACAAAACTGTCTTTCAAGGACACCCCAGGCATTAATAAACCTTTTCTTTTATTAGGTAATGCAATAAAATTATCCAAAAAAAATAACATTTCAATCGTAAAATAAATCCTTACATGGTTTTTTGGTATTCATGCATTTGCTCTAACTCTACAGACTTTGCAGCTTCTGCAGTGAGTTGTAACAAACCAGGAAGGAACCTTTTCTTGTCCCTGGAATATTTTTTTTTTTTTTTAATGCTTATAAAAGGGCACAAAGGATAGGGCCCTGTCTGGAATGGTAGCTTCTTGTAAAAATATAATCACAGCTACACAAATAATATCAGGCAAGAAACAGTGTGGTTTGCCCTCTCTGAGTAAGGAGTGTATACATATCTTCACAGTAGGTATTTGATGATTAACCTGTTTTTCCTTAGGACCAGCTCCTATTTCACAGAACCGGTTTCCTAATATTGTTTTAATACCTTTCCCATTATACATGCAATCTGAACCTACAGAAATGTACATAAAACACATAGAACTATGTACAAAATGATGTGTCAAAATCTTGCTTACATACACTACATTATCAAGTTTTTTTTTTGTTTTTTTTTAAATGTCATGTATACATTTTTCTTTAAGGGTCCCCACACACCTCTTTGCGTACAGATTCAATTAAGCAAATGACGTCAAGTGAGTAGTAGTCTGTCCCGCGCTGAAGTTGGTGCTGCTTGTCTGCAATAAGTTGGGTTTTTAAATTCCATTTAATTGATTTTTATTTTATTAATTCTTAAAGCAGGAGACTAAGCACCATAACCACTACAGCCTGCTGTAAGAGTTTGAGTCCCTCAATTCTGTCAAACCGTTTGGCTCAGCTAATCAAAGCTGCTCAAATTTAATTAGCCCCGTCAATTTTGTAAAAATTAGAGTTACTGCATTAGCGGTCTGTTAAAAGAGGGGCTGAGCCAGAGGTGTCTTGGTTTGATAGCTGACACCAGATGGAGTTCAGAGCCTCCTAGAAACATTATCACTACAACAGGTTGTAGTGGTTATGGTGCTTAGATCCTCTTTAATGTTTTTTTCCTCCGATTGACCATTTTATAGCTTTGCACTGTTGCTTTCTCTCCAGCGCTCAAAAGGTTTATTATGTTGCTGCTAAAATGTCCAGCAATGTGCGTATTGGCATCTTGGCTCAGATGTATCATATTCTGGTTAAATAGTTTGATATTTTTAATTAGGCTTGGGAATGGTGACCCCCATTAATGACATACAAGCCTCGGCGGAGGCTGCAATGATGAAAGGGGAGAGACTGACTCGCTGCAAGCTGGCCAGCATGTACCGGTTGGCTGATCTGTTTGGCTGGGCACACATGGCCAATGCCTACATAACAGTAAGTGGTTTCCTTTCTTCTCACTTTATGCTTTTTAGTGAAAAAGTTCCAATGTGTTCTGTGCAATGGATAAAAACAAAACATGAAATTAAATTATAAGAGCAGCATTTATTAACAAATGGGTTGAGACCCCAAAAGGAGTACTCCAGTGTTTGGATCAGGAGCATCCCAGGTCATTTCTTACAATAAACCTGTTACCGTAGCAGCACTGTCAGCAGTGAAGAATTGCAGCTGTTTTGCACATTTTATGGTATTACAGCTGAAAGATGACCAACTCGCGTAACTAAACCTGCAGAATGGGCGATCATACAAATACTGTGTACGGAACTTGGGTCTTTGATCAAATAAAAAAAACAAAAAAAAAACAATTATCTATTAGTAAGGTATTGGAAATGCAGCATATTATCCAAGACAAGTATCTGAAAGGGATGTGTACGGTAGCTGCAGAAACGTGAGCAAACCGTGAGAGTGTAAACCAAGGAATCCAAATCCCAAGCTGATTTGTAATGTGAAATAAATATTTTCATTAATAGAGAATAAATGTATCCGTTGCTCAGTAGCATACATACCTGGCAGGGGGACAATCTGCCCTTGGTGACAGGCAGCAGTAGGTGCACAGGGCCCCGGGGATTGTGAGTGTGTGAATGGGAGTCTCTATGTGAATTTGAGTATAGGAATATCAGCGTATGCATAGGAATATGGCCAGGTGGGGGAGGGTTGCCAATTAACATTTCTGCCCTGGGTACCTACGTATGCCTCTGCTACTGCGTTACCTTTTATTTTAACCCATTAATGACAATGGACAAGCCTAAACATTGCATTAAGTTGACAACATTGCTGATATTCTCTTCATGATCAGCATAGAAAGGTCAGTGTAATACACACCCAAGGTGCTTTTTAAAAGTGAATCACTTGTCAAGAAACTCAGCATACAGAGCAGTGTCCACTCTCAGAGCTTCCCTGTCACTCACAGCGGCTTTGAGGTTAGGCTACATATGGCCCCCAGTGGCCACATCTGACATACAAAATCAATGGGATTAACTCACTTATTGCTGCTTTACAGTTGTATCAAATATATCCGACATCTTGTGTATTTGACAATCTTGTGTGTGTGTGTGTGTGTGTGTATGAGACACAGTCTGTGGGCAACCCTGTTCCCGTTAAGCTATAGTATATTCAGAACAAATTGCCTGTAATGGACAAGGTTATTGCAATCTAAATTGTTTAGAACCAGACCAAAATAAACAAATTAGAAAATATTCTGTTCGCTGGAATTTTAACTTGGCTCTTTTTTTCCTAATATTTGAAGTTCATTTGAGTGACTAACCCTGCTTCTATTGAGGGTTTGCAGTAACATTTATTAAGTCATTTGTCTGTAATGTAGGGGATGTTTTAATTCCTTACCCTTTTCCTGATATTACACACAGGTCCGAGTGAGCAAAGAACAAGATCACATTTTGATAGTTCCCAGGGGCCTCTCCTTCTCTGAAGTGTCAGCCGCCAACTTGGTACGTACAACTTTTTCAAATGTATTTGTTTGTTTGTTTATTTTTATTTTTTTCTGATCTAGATGACTATCCAGGAAAAGACAGACTGCCAATCCATGAACTGCATGTACAGAGTGACACTTCTTTGCAAATTAAAAATCTGTGCAAGGCTTGCTTGCCCCCCTCGAGATGTGTTTAAAACTTGTATGGTTTTACAGTACTGGAGCATGTTTGATAGCATTAAATACATTGTCTTATTGTATGCTTGATGCTGCAGGTGAAGCTTAATATAATCGGTGAGGTGGTGGATCAGGGAACCACTAATCTACGAGTCGACCCATCGGGATTCAGCCCGCATGGTGCCATTTACTCCACACGTCCTGATGTGCGATGCGTTATCCACATCCATACCCCCGCCACAGCTGCCGTGAGTAACAATTCCTTAAATATTGTTGGTTATCATGCGATCAATAGATAGGGACAGTCACTTCTCTGGAAATGACATCATAGAATAACCTATAGCTCGTGTTAAACCTTTTAACCCCTAAGGACACATGACATGTGTGACATGTCATGATTCCCTTTTATTCCAGAAGTTTGGTCCTTAAGGGGTTAATGCAATGCGCCATATTATTTTAAATGTATGTTAGAATGAAACAATTTACATCAATCCAGTTCAGTTCTAGCAGAGCCAGGGAATGCATTGCATTATGGGAGACCAAAGTGATTTGAAAGTGGTCTTTGTCACTTTATAGAAAATATATCTGGTCTAACCACTGCCCACTCACATGGATTATTATTCACTGAAATATTTAAAAAGAAATGGGATGGCACATACCTGAGAAAATACAACCACTAGTTTAGGAGGGCAGCAGACCCAAAGGTTAAAATACAACCTTTCTACGTTTTGTGTCTTTCTCAAGGGAGGGTCAAACACATAGCATGATACAATTATGTTTTTTGTTTTATAGTTTGATGTAATAAAGATTGTACAAGTGTTGTCAGGTGTACACACTCACGCAGAACTATATTTATCTCCCTGTCCCATTTAGGGCTTGAGAAAGACACTACACGTATTGTAACGTTACCTTTTACTTTTTTGGCTGAATAAACCATATAACATTTCAGATTGCTGCAAATTTTCTTTTTGTCCTCTGTTTAGGTATATATTAGCACTTTTGCACAAGTTTGTGTTGGCTTGTTACACTTTTAAAGAAAATAAATGTATAAGTATTCCTGTATACACCTGGTCACTAGTGAAAAACATGTCTACTTTGTACCTAATGTTTTTTTAAATGAAAATTTAAGCAAGGATTAGATTTTTCTCTTGGTACTCACCCAAATATAAAATTGTGTGAACAAGTTTGCCAGCTTCTGAACCGGAATGTGGTTTTGTTTTTTGGGGTCTTTAAGATACATATACCTTACACCCCTTTTTGTTTTAATTACCAGACAAATGACCTACAAATTGCAAAACTGTGGAAACACATTTGGCACGCGAACATAATGGGCCACAGATGCACGCACCCACTCAAACTAGCATTTATACATACACAAACTATGACAATTACACATACTCCCAACCACACTGGAGAGGGATTTAATTCTTCCTGCTGCTTGGAGGGTCAGAGGTAGCAGTGGGTTCTGTGTGTTTACCATTTCCACTTAAATAGCTCAGTATTCACTCTTTAGATTGCAGGACCCTTGCTCAGTCACTGATCGGATGTTTCAGACAGTTCCCACATGCTTTAGCAGCTAACACTAGTAACTTGCATTCTGTCTCTGGGGTTTACACTTTGCCAAGTTATTCCTTTTCAGCATTCAGTCCTGACTTTCTCTCACTCCAGGTCTCTTCCATGAAGTGTGGGGTACTTCCCATCTCTCAGGAGGCTCTACTGCTGGGAGACATTGCTTACTACAACTACCAGGGCTCCCTTGATGAGCTGGAGGAGAGGATCCAGCTGCAGAAGGTTCTTGGGCCAAGCTGCAAGGTGCCTTTCATTAAAATGCCAACTTTTATTACTCTTACAGAATACGAACTCATATGCTGCAGCTTGTTTACTTACTCATCCGTTTTTCATAGTAACATAAGCACATTACCCAGATATGGGAGATTAGATCATTGTTTAAACAAAGTTTGTGGGGTTTTTCTTGTTTGTTTTGTTTTTTTTCTCAATTTTATCTGTCCTCAGGTGCTGGTTCTTCGAAATCATGGAGTTCTGGCACTTGGCGAGAGCGTGGAAGAAGCTTTTCATTACATCTTTAATGTACAGCTTGCATGTGAAATACAGGTATTATCCCGACCAGGGGCTGAAACAGCAGGGGTGGTGGGGGAGAAGGGTTAATTTTTTCTTAAGGTACACTAAGAGCACATAGACCACTAGCTATTGTTCCAGGAGTACCCAACTCCTTCCCAGAGGAATTTGTCAAAATGTTTTTTTACAAGGCTTGTTGATGTACCCGGGTCCAACTGGGCACTTGTCTAGCCTGCTTCCAGATACTGCAACCACAAACATCTGCCTCAACCACTGAGCCATGCAGGGCCAAGCACATCAGATGAGCGCTCAGCCGGCAAGTGTAGTCCTCGATTCGCTAGGGTCAGCTCCGTGAAGACATCAGACTTCTGAAGGAGGAAACCAGATGCTGCACATATGCCTGGGAGATCCAGATACGTTGGAACTATTTAAAACCGTTTGACAAATTACTCTGAGAGGGTGTGAGGCCCTCCTTGCACCACAACCACAAAAGCGTTCTGTGCTTTTGAAGAAAGTATGTATTGTGTTCAGTACTCTAACTTCAATCATACTATAACATTCTTTCCAAAAAGCAACCAAATTGTGCAGCAATTACATCTTATGCAAACATCAATGTGTGATATTTAAAGCAATTTAGCCAGTAATGTTGTTGTTTATAGGTTTTCTATAGTGTGAGGAATACAAAGTTTTATTTCTTACACTATTGTTCCCTGTACTGCCCCCGCACCCTTCAATCTTCTTTGGCGCTTTGAGGTCACACCACAGGGGGTGGCTAATGTGCACCTCAAGCATATTTGGTCCACCCCAAAGAAAAGCATTGCTTCAATGCTTTCCTATGGGGATTTTTACTGACGCTGAATGTCCTCATGCAGGGTGTGAGGTCACCTAGCCACCAGGAAGTGCCTCTAGTAGCACTGTGACCGCCACTACAGGCCGTCTTAGTCCTGCAATGTTATCATGTTGTTTTAATTAAGGGGGATAGGGGCAGTTCACCCAGACCACTTCATGAGCTGAAGTGGTTTGAGCGCCTATAGTGTCAGTTTATTATTGTGTACAAATGTAAACTTTTTTTCCATGCTCTGCCTCCATCTGTTTGGTGTCACTGACTATATTTTATCCACCTGTAACATTGTTTCATGACTCGTTTCAATATCCTCCTACAGGTAAATGCTCTGGCTGGGGCTGGAGGGATTAACAACTTAGTTCTGCTTGATCATGAGAAATACAAGCCAGTCACACATGATCTGGCCAGCGAAGGTGGCGGAGGGGTCAATATGGAGGGGCAACACAAGTGGAAGGTTGGAGAGTTGGAGTTTGAGTCTCTTATGAGGATGCTAGATAATTTGGTGAGTACCCATGATGCTACATTAATTTTATGGTTTCTAATTGCCCCCTCCTTAATTATGTTTGTGCATCTGCTGTCCTCTATTAATTGAGTACAATCTCCTCTGCAGGGTTACAGGACAGGTTATGCCTACCGACAGCCTCTGACCCGGGAAAAACCTAGACACAAGAGTGAAGTAGAAATCCCAGCCACCGTCACAGCATTCTCATTTGAGGATGATCCCTCTATGCCACGTTCCCCTCTTCGATTCCTAGCACAGAGGCAGCAGCGAGAGAAGACTCGATGGCTCAATTCTCCTAACACCTACCTCAAAGTTCATGTTCCTGAGGAGTCTCTGAATGGAGAGATGAGCCCAAGGACCAAGGTTATGGTAAGTAGTTACTGCAAGAGTAGTATAGAGTTGCACCCTCTCTCCCCTATCCCACCAGAACTCCTACCCTGTATTTCAGCAACCGTGCTTGGTGATTGGCTGAGAACGGATTCTCCCTTTATTTGCCATATTTCTATTTGCAACGCTGCTCCCCATTCATGGAAATTAGATCTAAAATAATATTGGGATGAAGTGTGTGTATATATATATATAACCACCCACTATATATTTTATTCTGCACCTCTTGTTTTTGCATATTTTTCACGGCTGTCTGAGAGTTGTAGAAGCACAATAGTGCAGGTTATTTGATATCTAAATATTGTACGGCAGTATATTTGAGAAAATATTTAAGTAAAGTGGATTTCCTGTCGACATCCGCATCCATCTGTTCCCTGTTCAATGTAATGGTGAGAGCTGATCTGAACGTGGTGTGTTTTTGTTTTTTTTTGGTTTTCCTTTTGTTATCCTGTGTCCATGTTTGTCTGTGGCTTACCTACTGTCATCCACCTTTCCAGTGGATGAAAGCTGAGGAGGTGAACAAGGCTGGAGGGTTCCCCATCAAAATCGAAGATCCCAATCAGTTTGTCCCGTTAAACACTAACCCAACTGATGTTCTGGAAAAACGAAACAAGGTAGATTTTATACATTGGATCTTGATTTTTTTTCACACTGTTTGTACTGTACCTTCTGCTAACACTTTCACTGCTATCAGTTCATTATCTTGGACTGAGAATGAAAAAGCAGCACCGCACTTCACTGTAATCATGTGATCCTTTATTAAGTTACACAAAGGCCATGTTTTAAACCAAAGTGGAGCATTGATTGGCGGTCTTCCAAATTGCCATAGCCAAATCATATAAAGCTACATAGCATTTATAAAATGTATAGTTAAGAACTAATTTATGTAATCTTGAAAAACCAACCATACATATACTTGCTCATATTTATGAACTAGCTCCAATGAATCTGCTAATAATTCTTTGGACTCTGTAAGGTACGAGAAAAATAATTAATGTGATACAAATACCATGTATTGCAGAACAGACGTTTTACAGAAATGGAGAAAATATTGGGTTTGATTTAACTTCTGTTCTTGATGTAGAACATTTTGGAAAGTTTTCGCTGTTGCATAAGCAGATTGAGCCACAAGCAGGATTAGATGACTTAGTTCTATGTGAAACGCCCAATTTAAGGTAGAGGGAAAGAACAGTATCCTATGTAGAGCAGATATACTATACCTGGGCAAAATAAAGCTGGCTACTCCCACAGTCAAGAACATTTCATTCAGATCTATCCCTTAAATTTCTGCTCACATACCGGATTACAGCGATTCCCCAGAGCTGCTGGCTCTGTGCAGATCATTAGCTCCCTCCAGAGGAAGAGTGTGGTCCTTGTTAGCTGTGTAGGATGCACATACAAGTTGGACTAATTTGCTAATAAAAACTAATAAATGTTACTATCTTGCTTTGATGTATCGGGTCATTGTGCATCTTATTGATGAAGTTCTAAACCATCCTGGAAAGAGATTCAGTATAAACAACCTAACTTTACGTTATTGCAGCAAAGTTATTTATTTACTAAAGTGTAAATTTTTAAAGGAACATTCAGAGTTGTCAAATCATTCTCAAGCAGGACTGCTCATCTCAGGAGAACACCAAGGCACTCCTGGCACCGTACTTGCCACTACAGTAATCTGAAGTGGTTATGGTTCTTGGAGTGTTCCATTAGGGATTTGACTGGAGAAGATTAGACAATGAGAGATTGTAAAATGTGTGGGTGATCGGTAATAATTCCATATGTTTAATATATATGAGGTTCTGATCAGGATTCTGTGTCCACTATTTTCTAGATCAGAGAGCAGAACCGGTACGACCTAAAGACTGCTGGACCCCAATCCCAGGTGCTAGCTGGAATTGTAGTGGACAGGCCAAATCCTGTAAGTTTGTAGCCTTGTGAATGCAATGCGTAGATAACATCTGGTGATTGTCTGGATGTGGCTTTAATGATTTTCCCTTTTCTCTCAGCCCATGCAGTTTGAGGAGGATGAAAATGCACCACCGCCTCCTCCAAACCCATTCAGCTACCTGCTGGAGGAAGAGACGGAGGGTGGGCAAAAGAGAGACCAGAACTCAAACCATGGTAAGCAGACAACTGGCATTTTACACTGCATACCTCTTCATTCAACACTTCTAGTTTTAATTTTTCTCATCTATTAATTTGTTTTAATCGATTTGTTGCATGTACTTCAACCACCCGCACGCCACAGTCTGTCAAGTATTAACAGATGGCACAACTTTACACACCGTATTAATGGATTGCATTTAAATATGTCCTACTGTTACACACGGTAACTTCTAACAGTCTCTCCCATGCATGTTCTGTTGCATGCCAATTAATACATTCTTAACCCTGCAGATGCTGAGCACGAATTAATCTTGGATGAAGCACCCTCTGTCCCAATAACTGAGCCCACACCCCAGGCACCGATAACTAACACAGGTATTTAAAGGGCACTGGCCTATTTTTCCAACATTTATTTAAAGAGAATAGATATTGGAAGGATGGAAGAGTCAGTAACTTTAGATCTGGTAAATCGTATGGTTTGGTTTATTAAATCCCACATTCCAGTGAGCTCAAGACATGGTCACCGGGGATTGCAAACTATTTAATTGTTTTTGATCATTAAAGGAACATTACACACTCATGAAGCATTTTTGGTTGCTGAAGAGTTTGTGTGTTTTTTGGGGTCTTTTTTTTGTGTTTTTCATTTTACCAAAAGAGCAGATTTCAATAGAAATTTGAGCTTTTTTTTATTATTATTTATTTATTTTTTAAATATATTAATTACTCTTCTGGCTGTCAGACAACAAGTCCTGTAACATCCTGGTTGATTAGCTCAGTGGACGGAAACTCAAGAGGCAAATTAAAAATGTATCTATGCTGTTATTAGAGGTATATCGACTAAATAGTGATTTATTTGGAATGTGGTGTCTGTTTAAGTAACAGACCGGAAGATGTATGCACAGATTCTGTTCTGGTGCTTAATAATCATTCTGATTGCTGCTAAATTAAAGAGGAACTTCAGGAACAGTCAGACAAAGTAGTCTTTATGAAATACTGATCCTGACTATGTTGGAATTTCACTGAAATGTATAACAATGTTGTATGTGGAGGCCATGCATCTAACTAGGCCACTAGAGTATAGCCTAAAACAAATGCTATAATAGAGTATAGTAAAGAGTAATCGTTACAGTTGTGGAAAGCTAGACCATGAGTCCATGACGGGTTTATGGGAAGATCAAACACTTAAAGTTAAAGGACCACTCTAGGCACCCAGACCACTTCAGCTTAATGAAGTGGTCTGGGTGCCAGGTCCTTCTAGGGTTAACCCATTTTTTCATAATTATAGCAGTTTCAGAGAAACTGCTATAATTATGAATGGGTTAAGCCTTCCCCCTAATCCTCTAGTGGCTGTTTCATTGACAGCCACTAGAGGCGCTTGCGTGCTTCTCACTGTGAAAATCACAGTGAGAGCACGCCAGTGTCTATAGGAAAGCATTGTAAATGCTTTCCTATGAGACCGGCTGAATGCGCGCACAGCTCTTGCCACGCTGCGCATTCAGGGCGGGGCGTAAAGGAGGAGGAGAGCTCCCCGCCCAGCGCTGGAAAAAGGTAAGTTTTTACCCCTTTCCCCCTTCCAGAGCCGGGCGGGAGGGGGACCCTGAGGGTGGGGGCACCCTCAGGGAACTATAGTGCCAGGAAAACGAGTGTTTTCCTGGCACTATAGTGGTTCTTTAAAGGGACTTAATTTAGTGGTTTTGGTGCATAGAGGCTGCCCTTTGGCCATTTTATCTGAGAGCCTGGATTCAGCACTTCTCTGTGATAAGCATTTGAGTTGTTGATGCCTGCGTTAGTCATGCATTCACACTATGCTCACAATGCTTTGCCTGGCCGTGGAGAAGCATTGGACAAAAGTCTTCAGAATAACTCGTTTCAGGCTGGAGGCTGTCCCAGTGCTGAATTATTTCAAGTTTTATGACATTACTTTTAAAATATGGAGGTCCCGGTCATTTTATGACCGCAAGTAACATTAGAACGAGACTATAAACTGGTACCGGGAAACTCACTTTTGTATGAAACATGCCAATAGGAAATGTGTTGTGTTACAAATATACCTGGAAAAAGTAATAAGGTTACACAGCCTTGTTCAAACTGTCACCACTGGAGAGTACGGATTAGAAACAATACTAACTCTAGAGCACAATATAAAGGGATTCTATAGTGCCAGGAAATCAAAGGCGCCTGGCACTGTAGAATCCTATAGCACCCCTCCCATGGTGCTGAAGGGGTTAAAATCCCCTCCGTCACTTTCCTGAATCCAGCACAGATGTCCCCTCTGCACTGGGTCAGGCTCCACCCACATTTCTCCGTCAGCCAGCAGGGGAGACTTAATTTGCATGTGCGCCAATGGCCACACTCGCATTAGGATTTTCCCATGGGAAAGCATTATGCAGAGCATGAGGACGTCCAGTGTCCAATAACAGACCTAAGGTCAGTTTCAAACTAGGAAGCCCTCTAGTGGCTGTCTGGTAGACTGCCACTAGAGGTGGAATTAACCCTGGATGTTGATTTATGAATAACTGCAATAATTACTATTGAAGGGTTAAGGAACATTGCACCTAGACCACTTCAATGAGCTGAAGTGGTCTGGGTGCCTACAGTGTACCTTTTAAATAGCTCAGTAAGGTCTAAGAAGTAGCATCCCCATTTGACGATACGTCTCTGTGTGCTTTGGTTATGTTAATGTTACTTTGCGCGCCTGTAACGGCCATAGCTTTTTAGTGAAAGACATTTGCTATTTTGAACCCCTTCTACTCTATTGTCATTGAGAGAGTCCAGTTTCTTCCTCTGCACAGTGCATGTCTGCCTGCAGTCTGTAGAATACTCAGAAAACCGAGCCGCTACCCCCAGAGGGGGGGGAAAGGGGGAATTAACCAAAAAAACAATATTTCTAAAGGTCTATTGCCAGTACAAATATGTAAAGTAGCATAGATTTATTTTTATCTGAAATACAAATTCCATGGAGATGAGAAGTCTCTCGTAAATAATCTACAGTGTAATTAATACTGGCACAGAAAGGATAGGTAAATTACAGCAGATTGTCAAAGGTGCAGCTTCATAATCTACCATTACAGCAGGAAGTGGGTGGTCAACGGGATCTCGCAAAGTTTCCATATTGACGCAGGGGATTAATGAGATTGTTACAAACAAGTGCACATTTTAGAAACTTGATGGTCAAAAGCTAGATTTCCAGCTGTTGCACACAAACTTCCATGACGCTAAAAGGGTTATGCCAACCACCATGACCACTTCTGCTTCTAGAATCCTGGTGGTAGGAGCCTGTATGTGCAGCTTATATGCTCGAATAGCTGCACATGCAGTGATAGTCGCACTTGTGTCTGGGACTCATTTCATCCCTAGCTATGCAATTGAGGCAGTCTAACTCTTTTGAGCTGCCTGTTAAATCTGTGCAAAAGCTGCATCTATCATCAGTGTGCTGGTGGCATAGGTGGTCACCGCTGGAATCGTGCCTGCAACGGGGAAAAGTCAATGTCCTCTCCCTCCAGTTTGGTGATTTTTAACATAGCTGTTTAATACATGTGCTCTGAGCCTGGGAGAATGGTCTAGTTATATGCTTCTGTATAAGAAGCATTTGATTGGACCTCAGAGGGAAGGAGTAACATCAGACAGGGTGTGGAAGGCAGTATGAGAGTTTTTTTCAGTACAGGAGTCCATTTAAGTTTAAAGCTTATAATTTATTATCGGGGTTGGTGGGGGGAAGCTAACGAATAATGCATTCTACATTACATAAATAGTTTGTGGTCCTTTAAAAGGTTTACTCAAACCATTTTTACCTAAAGGTCACCCAGGCTACTTCACATCAATGAAGTAGCCAGGTTGCAGTCAGTGTAACAGTTTCTGCTAAAAGGCAATGTTTTACCTTGATTGGTTAAACTTTCCTCCAATGACTGTTACACGGACAGCCACTAGAGGCGCTCCTGCTGCACTGACTGTAAAAGGGTGCGGAAGCTTGAATGAATGTGCATCAGGTCCCCAATTCTACTCAATAGAAACACTGAATTGGAGTATGGCAATGTTGAGGGAGCCTCGACCCTGGAAAATGGCAAGGAAAAAAAAATATATATTTTTACAGGGCTGAGGGAGAAACCTATAGAACTAGGGCCACTAAAGCGTTAGATATACAAAAGTTTGTGTTCCTTTAAGCCTCATGGCAGCTGTAATGTTTCAGCGGCTTGAAATGTACCTTCTGGTGTCCCCATTTCTAGATTGGTAATGTAGCAGAACAGATTAGCATTTTGTTTCCTCCCCCCTGTACTCACTGCTCTCCTTGTTACCACAGAGTCTTCAGAGGACCTTATTATAAACACAGATTCGCCCACCGTGGTGTTAAATGGTAAAGATAGCAGCAGACATGAGGAGGATCTGTCGGTGCAAATGAACCAGCTCCGCGTGGGGGAGACTGTGGAGATTACAGTCAGGACCTCTGAGAAGATCATCGAAGGGGAACTGACCCCTGAGGGTTCTCCTTCAAAATCTCCCAACAAGAAAAAGAAGAAATTCCGCACCCCGTCCTTCCTAAAGAAAAACAAAAAGAAGGAAAAACTGGAGGCTTAAATGCCACGTATTTTTGGAGGGGGAGGGAGAGAGATTTTTTTTGGGGGGGGGTCTAAGTGGGGTGCCAATTTAGCCCCTTAAATGCTGGAGGGACCTACAACTCTTTGCACAGTGTTCTGCTGGTGGGGTATGAATCCCACTCTTTTTTTGCAGCTCCTGCTTTGTAAGCCATGCAGTGGCGCACCTAGTACCTAAAATGGCCATAGGGAGAGCGGAGTGCGCATGGCCCCTGATGTCAATACAAAGGATTGTAAAATGCACTCTATTTACAGGTCCTATGCTGCAGCGAGGTGCCTGCCAGGAGCTGCAGAAGGATTTTCTTTTAACTTGGCTTCAGTTTGATTTTGCAATGTCCTGGTTTGCTCATACATACAGATCTACATTGTGCGTGTGCGTTTGTGTGCTCCAATGCGTGTACCTCTATAGAAACATATACATGTAACAATATTCTAACAGTGTATACATGTATAGTACAGACCTCTGTTGCTAAACAGAGGGTTGATTTTGAAATCCACTAAGAGCCAAAATGGCCTTAAACTGGAATGAAAGGGTTTTTATATAAATATGAGCAGTGCATACCTATTTTCCATTACAGCCTGCGATCTCATGAGCTTTGCTGTCCATGGAGACCAAGGTTATGTCTGCTTCTATAAATAGTGCCGTGTATTACCTTAGCTGCTCCCATTTCAAGTTTAGGACACGTCATTCCACATAGACATACTTAACATGTCTGCCAGTCAATAACCGAGCACCTTCCTAGTCTAGGCTTTTGGGGTACATGATTAATATTATGAACCTGCTGCTGAACCCCTCTGTACCTCGCTGAACGGACAGATTTCCGTTTTCTGTCTGGTGTAACTAAACACTGCGTAGTTCTACCTGGGGACAAAATAGTTTGTTAGGGGAGCGTCTTGCATAAGTTTTTTTTTTTTTTTAATATATAAATTTCACTATTTTTTTTTTAAAGCCCCTTTGCTGCCCCTATATGTAACCCTCTCAGTGCCAGAGAATAAAGCAGTGCATTGCTTAAGCACGTGTAGCACAGTATTAAAATGTATACATAGATTTTATTTTTTTACTATATCAGAAAAATGTCTGTCCATCGTTACATCCTGAAAAGATTTAAGACCCGACCTTTTGATGGTAGACAAGCCTGTTCCCGTTGCAGGTTTGTAGCATTATTTTACTAGTTACAGGGTCTACACAAAGTAGTTATAATGGTTATAGGGAATCCTTTACAGTATGAAAATTAGCATGTGAAAAAGTGTTACAATATTCTGAGAGCATTCACAGATTGTCAGAGTATAAAATGTCATCCAGGGTTTATTCAATGAGCCAATAAATAATCCGTCAATTGATAACCATTTTAGGCCAAATAGCCGTAAAGGAAAAAGACCAGAGTTTGTCCTAACTTGGGGAAATTCACTAAAGAATTGCAAGTTTTAAGAGAATAACTCTGAAAATGTTATAGGCAAAGTATGAAATTAAGGATTGTATAAACTTGCTGGAGATTATACAGGTAAGATTACACTTAAAATCAGTATTAGGGACAGTCAATTAGGCCTATACAGTATGTCAAAAAAAAGACTAAAAACTACTTGTTCCATTTCATTGCTCCAAATTTGCAGAGTTGCCTTGATATTCTACAAACTGTCCTAATGAGTGTGTTACAGGCAAATCATAAGTACACAGAGGTATAGATATATATAGCACAATAAATAAAACTGCACAATGGATACATTCTTACATTACTAGGGCTGCACGATTTTCACAATGAGATTTGTATTAAAGAGCTAATGGTTTAAGATATGTTATATATTTGTAGGTTGCTTGAAGTTTTAGTACTGAAGAAATAGAAATGTATAAAAGACTTGTTAACTTGTTTTGGGGAAGTATATTGGGCACTATAGGATACAGTGAAAACGGCACATAGCGTATGATTGGCCTATTGTGTCTAAACACAGATATTGGCAAAGCGGCACTGTGCTAGGATGGAGAGAATCGGCACAGAATAGTTTTACCCTTCTAGTGTACTATGCCCTGCTCTGGCACTGAAAAGGTTAAAGATAAACTAAAGTAGAAAAACTCAAGGCATACACCAAAGAATCCCTTTAATCTCCAAAATGGATAGGTCTCCTTATGGCACAGGAGCGTTTAAATCCTAAAAGTGCTTACAGAACCCCCACCGCCCTGGCCCTGAGTGTCTGTGTGTTCACACACCATATTTTTAATATTATTTAGATAGGTTAAAAGTAATAAGCAGAAATTGGGTACAACAAAGCACCATGTTAGGAGTGTGAACAATGTATGGATTCAAATTCTAAAAGAGAAAAGAGCGATTAATTGCCTCCAACTGATTTAAGGGATAAACTAGGCCCTCATTTTAGAATTGATTGTCAGTAGAAAAGACAGGAGATCAAAGTCCTGTTTATAAACCAGCACCTTATTTAAATTATTTGCTTTTGAACACATATGCAATACGTGCTTTGCCAGCAATTAGTAAACAGAGACCAGCCCGCTGCAATGAACAGCAGTTAGCCTTGGGTGAAGAGGAAGAAAGGCCAGTGGGATTTCCCAAAGAACACTTAGTTTTTGGAAATTCTATAGATCGCCAGCAAGCTTCCTGTGTTATACAGATACGTGGGGTGCAAGTATTCTCGCTGTAGCCCATGTGCTGTCATTTTGTCATCACAGTACTCTTCTGATGGACCATGGGATCAAACCTTTCTACCACAGGCTGTGGTTTTAGGCTGGCATTCTGCCTTATCTTAACTTTTTTTTCCGGTACCAAAGAGGTGAGCTGGCACTGAAAATGGTTGATTGCAAACCACTGTCCTTAATTGGTGCTTTAGCGGGGAGAAATAACTAAATTATGTGACACACACTTTCTCCATGTTTATTTTCTGCCTTGAAAAACACACAGCAGATGGAGTTATTTTTTTTTGTCCTATATTGCATCTAATATTTAGCAGATGTCCCGTGTTGGGCCTATTTTTCGAGAGGGGTGCGTTTTATCATTTTTTATTTTTTTTTGTGATGGTGTGTGAGCCTACCTTTAATGGAGAGTTTATTATTTCACTTATTCTTGTAGGATATGCAAAATCTAAAAGCATGATCCTTCTGTGAAAGAGTATTTTTGATTTTATCCTGGGGGGTGGGGGGAATCTGGATTTTAACATACTGGAAAATTGTATTTTTATGGAGGAGGGGAGGGGTGGAGAATAGCCTTTGCTTCTGTTACGGACGACGCAAGCGATCTGTTGGACTCCTGTCTTGCAAAAGAAAATATGCCTTTTAAATGGTGTTATATCAATAGTTATTTTTTTCCTTGATTTTGCATTATTTTTGTGTTTGTATCGCAACTTGTAGGAACAAGAGTCTGTGAACTATGCTATACATAACTTTTTTTTTTTTCTATAAAAGAAATACAGAAATGTCTATATAAAATATACCTAGATGGATGCAATGTGCATAAATATTTTTTAAATGCTGTCACGTTATATGCACTTTTTTAAAAAATCCTTTTTTTTTTTTTTCCCTGCTAGCACCTCTATATACTTGCTTTGGCATAATGAATGAGCCATTTGAAAATCTGTCCTGTGGAAATATGTTACCTGAAAAATAGCTGATAGATGTATTGCTAATTAATGTTGAAATCACAAATCGTATTTTACGTAGACAGATTTTGTAATATCACTTTTTAATAAAGAGGAGTTAATCTTGGAAAAGGTTGTTTCTTTTTGTTTCACATAGCAATAAAAATATAAAATTTGACTTATATACGAAAATCAAAAATGGCGAAATGTGAAAGCTGAATTCCCAAAATTCTGAATTTGAATGAACGCTGAATTCCCAAAATGTAATTAAGTTTAAAGTTTCTCAGATTCTGCCGTTTTAATCTGAAATATACATTTTCCCTTTTCTAGCTCGATAATTTCCAGTTAGTAAATGAACTCTAAAAAGATGTACATTTTAACTACAGCTTAATGGTGAATATAATAGTTCCCCTTCAGGCTTTTTTCATGCAAACACTGCCTTTTCAGAGAAAAGGCAGTGTTTACATTGCCTCTAGGGACACCTCCAAGTGGCCACTGGAGGTGCTTCCTGGGTCAGTGCTGCTGAAAAAGCAGCCCTGACGTTCAGCGTCCCCACACTCTGCATGGAGATGCTGAATTTTCCTCAGAGATGCATTAATTCAATGCATCTCTATGGGGAGGTCCTGATTGGCCAAAACAGAATTTGACCCAGCCCCGTGTCAATTTTAGCCAATCCAATGCTTTTCCTATAGGAAAGCATTGGATTGGTTAAAAATCTGCCATTTTGATATTACAAAAGGAGTGGAGCCAGTGCTGATGGACCTGCGCAGGTCTGGAAATAAGGTGAGTTTTTTTGAAATTTTATAGGGTGGAGGTTGGGGGAGAGGGGGGGGGGGTGCAAAACCACCTAAATGGTGTGTTAAACACTATAGGGTCAGGAATAAATGTTTATGTTCCTGACCCTATAGTGTTCATTTAAGTCATTTTAAAGGCTTAAAAAGTTATCCACGTAAAATGTCAAATCCAAGGACATTTCAAATTGGCCTAAAATTTAGAATTCACTTTGAATTAACACGAATTCACACTGAATAATCCTTCCAATGTTCTATTTGAGTTACAGGTTAGTGTATCTGAATACCAAGCCAGAATAGCTCACCTGGAACAATAAATGATCCAACATTGCTTAAGTGTTTAAGTCTTTAGTACATCAAAATAAAGTTCCCCACTGCCTTTTATTTGCTACTGTTTATAGATCTAGGGAAATGTATGCATATAAATGAATGTGCATTCACATCTTTAGTTCCATCCACAAGACCCACACAAAGTACCCTCAAACATAACAGGGATGCTCTCCGCCTGAATCCAGGACCAGAAAAGGAAACACAGGGCCTTAGAAGGCAAGTGCCACCTGGACCACGTTGGAGTTTAGGAAGCAAAGGTATATTAGGATTGCTACCAGCTCTGCATTTAAGCAGTTCACCACCATCTTATTGACTGCTGTATGAAGATCTATGAAAAGCCAGTGCTATTATGCGTGCCCAGTGACGGCTATAGTACGGTTTATGAAAAGGTATGAATAAGGGGTTTATGGGACGTTAAAAGCATTTGGGCCATCCCTGTCCTTGGCTAGGTTTATGGGAGATCATCAACTTCTGCTGAACTTAAGGATAGGCTGCAATATTTCCAGGACTTCCTGGTCTGCTCAGAGCTCTCGGCAACAAATACCACTCTGGGTTCTTTTCCACTACACATTAAAACTGCAAAAATGTTCGATACATAAAAAAATTATACAACTTACTTTGGATATTAAACTTGCTGTTTAATAGTGAATGGTTTACAAATTTGATTATAAGTTTTATTAAAATATTTTAATGTTTATTGTGCAATAGTTGCCTTATCACTGTCTGAAATGTAAAACTTCAGATAATACATGCAACGACATTGATTACTTGTACAACCCTTTCCTTAATGTTGTGAATGTAAAGAAATGTATATTTTGCATTTAGAATTGCTTTTCTTGTTTTATTATTTAATCCTTCAGGAACACTATAGGATCAGAAATGCATGGGTTTGAATGTAAGCATGTTTTTTTATGGAGTGTGTTTGTATGTACGGTTGCCATAGAGATGCAGTGGGGTACTTGTGTGTAGGTTTTGCATTTGAATACAGGGGTGTGTTTGTATGTAGTGTTGGCTTTTAAATACAGATGTACTTTTGTGTGTAGTGTTGGTGTTTCTATTAAGGGGTGTGTTTGTATATAATTTTGGCATTTGCAGAATGTGGCGTGTTTGTATGTAATGATTGTGTTTGATAGCAGGGATGTGGGAGTGTGGGTCTAGAGCAGACTATCCTTGGTTCTTCCTCCTCTCTGTTTCCTGTAGCGGGGAAGAAAGTGGCCTAAACTCACTTCCTCTCAGCATCGGCGATATTACAGGGGCCGGCACCAAATGCCAATTACTACCAATCTGGCCTACACCACCTCCAACCCAAAGACCTGCTCTTATGGTTCCATGCTATCCACCTTAAAGTTACACTCCAAACACCATAACTACTGCAGAATGCTTTTGTAGTTATGGTGCTCTCCCCCTAGCCACATTGTGAGTACTCAACACCAATTTAGAACAGTTTGACTTATCTGGATCTGGCCAGATATCCATTATCTCTTACAGAGGAGGAGGCTCTCTGGTCAAAGACCAGTGGTCAGGGCTTAGCTCATTCACAGAGCGGGATCAGCTTGTGTTAGACCAGCCGTAATTGGCTTAGCTCAGGAGAGTTAACAGAAGCTCCCATGTCTCCCTATCGTAATGGAGGCAAGCAGTGGCCCCTAGTCACTAGTGAACCTCAGGTAAGTCAAGCAGTTCTAATCCCTTTTGACTACAGTGAAAGAATGCCAGGGCATTGCTGGCACCATAACCTCTACAGCATGCTCCGGTTGTTATGGTACTTTGAGTATTGCTGAAGTATTTGTGTCTAGAATTGAGCATCCACTTGGATAAACTCAACCATCATCTTAGCTATTTTGTTCTGAAATTTGACATTCGTTGATCAATTGTCCCTGATTTCTGTTTTGGATAATAAATCAATGTCATGCTGAGATATGTCCACTAGGTGGCAGATTATCTCTCAAGGTTACTATTAAGATTGGTATTACCATTACCAGTCCTGAAGATTTCCTTTTAATTATATTTACAAAGTACCAACAGTTAGGGGAAAACAAAAACATACAATAAAGCTTAGTACGCCACTGGCCACGGCCACACACACACACTAAGACATGTCTGACTTATTACCTTAATAAGGTACAAGTTTAGAAAAGAGGGTGTTTGTGTATGAGGGATACTAATTTCAATTAATATGCAGCGCGGGCACCATGGATTGTTCTGGAGTATAGTCTGCTTTGTGAATAATAGGTGTACTGGATGGAAATTCTAAGTGAAGTCTTACAAGAGGAAAGGAAAGTAGCTGAAATGCTTTAAAGGAACACTAAAGTCACCCAGACAACTTTGTCTCAACTAAAGTGGTCCTGTCATTTTAACCCTTTAATGTAAAGCGTTGTCATTTTATAGACCGCCACTAGAGCCACTGCTTTAGCCAAAACAGAGTGAAAGTGTCTTGGGATCCTATATAGCCAATATCGGCATTATATTGGGGGAGTGCGGCGTTTAGTCACGCATGCTCATTTCCAAACCATTGCTTCTGTATAGGAGCATTGGATTGGAGGAGATTGACGTCATCAAGCATAGGTTCCCTTTAATGAAGTATACAAAAAATTCTATCCATTAAAAAAATTACAACGATGCATCTATAACCAGTCTCACATGTTCCATCTCTCAAGGAAAACATGCATTGCTTCATCACGGTGGTTTCAGCACCTCCTTTGGGCCATGATCCCCTTTCAAACTGATTTATTAAATGGACTGCAACATCATTCTAGTGAATTTATATTAACAGGCATCGTTACCCACTCAAGATGCACTGGTGCATGCGCTATCCTTTAACCAGTTATCTCTCATACAATTCAGATAGTACCAAATGCCACATCAATACCAATAGCTTTTCGTATGTTCTGATACACGTATCAAAAAGAGAAAAAAAGAATTATCCAGGCACACCTGAGGTTTCTTCTAAAAGGCAGTCTTTATTAAAACCAGGAAGTAGAGACAACGTTTAGGCTGCTCTCTGGGTCTTTATCAATGGATATTTCTCTTTTTCCCATTTGACTTCTTTAGGGATTGGCCTTCCCTTTCTAAAGCACCCTGCAGGAATTGCTTTAGAAAGGTAGTGCCTTTCTAAATTTTACCCTTGTTTTTTTTGCAACCAGGGAGATAATACATCCTGGTGTACCTTCTAGCTCTTCTGAATTAGATCTTATAGAGTATGTGGCCTGCAGGGCCTGGCAAGGTATTCAAAGTCACCTCTGTCAATATCTTCTTGACGCTTGCTACATTCAGGGATATTAAAGGTGGTTTAGTTCGGGATTAAGTGCTGAAGATAATGTTGGGGATTTATAAATAAAATTATTAATAATGCAGAAGGAAAGCATATTATACAGACGTTACAAAAGGGGTCGGAATCACCCATAGCGCTAGGTGACTTGGAGAGTTTCCTGCTAAATTTCTAGGGAACACTAGATCCAGCTGATCAGTTTCTATTCACAGAGGGCATTAGGATGTTGGAGAGTTGGTGAATTTTGCTGTGCTGGGTAATTCAGATCTCTCTGAGCTGACAGGGGGGTTACAGCTTACAAGGAGCAGATGGCTGCCTGCCATGCAAGGCTCTGTTGTCTGACCTAACGTGCGGCCTTTTGTGCGGAAAAACAAAGCAATGGGGATATGAAAGGAAAAGACAGTGGAGAAACGCCCTCAGTGACAGTCCGTTGCAGGTGAAGAAAGCTGTATATTATCTACTTAGTACAGGGAGAGAACTCATTAACCCGGATACTAAGTCTGAAGTCATCGATGCTTTAAAAAAAAAAAAAAGTTTTTAAATCACCAATTAAATAAAGCAAAGTCTGAGTGTCGGGCAGCTTGAGCTGAATTCTCCATGTGATCAAGTATAAGGGACAGCTGTTTAATTCCTGGCATTAGGACAAGAACGCTAACACGCGTGAGCGAAGGAATGTCAAGAGTTTACTCCTAAACGTCATAACTTGCTCTTCTTCATATGAATTGACTAGCATCTCCACCTGTGGCAGAGGATTCTCCAGGAATATTATAGAGATGCCAACCGAATGACCCTTTTTCCTTTGGCACATTTTATTAATACCCCCTCACTCGGATCAATAAGGACCATTATAATACAACTGAATTTTTAAGCATCAGGATAAGTAAATACATAAATAAATAATAGGCTTTTTAAAAAAAAAAAAAATTATTTGACCTATTACTTTAATAGAATACCCACCAAATATTTTTGAATCAAATTATATTTGCCATAGTCACGGTTATTATAAGAATGATCAGGATGTCAAAGCAAATTTAAGTGGATTTCAAGTTTTAAGCCAAAAATTTCTGAATTGGAAAAAATTGAGCTGTTTTTGGTATAAACTTGAAATTCATTCTAAATATCCCTGTACAGAATGTCAGGTCATTATTACAGGATATCATATTCTGTCATCTTGTCTGTAGTATAACGCTGTGGGAAATTTCAACACTATATTGATCTGAAGAAATAATAAAAAGTGCATTTTAAAATGTTGGCAGAAGCCTGGTATTTAGAGCGTGATTAGGAAGGGGAAAGAAAGTAAAGAGCTATGCTGTGATTATATTAGCATGCATTCCATAAAGCACCAACACATTCCATAGTGCTGTACACGTAAGACTAGCACTTAAAATCTCTTTTACCCCGAGGAGCTAACCATTGTGATCCCTAAAATGCAGAAATTGGGGGAGGGCACAGACGCCCTCCAAGTCCACACCCTGCTAACTTCAGGCCATTATCATGCAGATTTCGAATCCTGAAACCTGCAGCTTTTGTTCTGTTTTTGGAACTGACTAAGGATCACCCAGCCCATCAGAGCATTATGTCTGGTCTTTTATTATAGCAGCAGGTCCAGCATTATTTGCTCACTTCACCCATTCATGCGTCTACACAAGCTTTATTTAAAATAGACGTCTTTATAATGGGAAAGCGTCCATTCATGCCCGCTCGATTTATTACTGACAATCTTTTTTTAATACACTATCAGAGTTATTTCACAAAAGCGACAATTCAAGGTGAATTTAAAAAGGAATTTCACATTTAAGGTCAAAATAGCCAA